AACTCCTCCACTTGAGGCAGGAACTCTCCACCAACCTGAAGGGAACAAGCCACCCTTTTCAGACTGAGAACCATGGCCTCGGATTTGGAGGTGCTGATTCTCATCCCAGCCGCTTCACACTCGGCTGCAAACTGCCCCAGTGCACGCTGGAGGTCCTGGTTTGATGGGGCCAACAGGACAACGTCGTCTGCAAAAAGCAGAGACGAGATCCTGTGGTCCCCAAACCGGACTCCCTCCGGCCCCTGGCTGCACCTAGAAATTCTGTCCATAAAAATAATGAACAGAACCGGTGACAAAGGGCAGCCCTGCCATTGATTGATTATTTGAAATAAATTTGCTTCACATTGCATAATTTTCATCACTAGATTAATTCAGCGCAAGCAAAACAAAGACCGTGTCATTAAAAGAGGCCCCAGTAGAGAGACAGTCAGACTGAGATCTACTTTACAGTCAAACTGTTTTCCAGCTTAAAGCTAAGAAACAAGGCTGAGGTCAGTTCATTTCTGTCTTCAAATTCATATTCATTTAGTTCAGTGTTAAACCATGTGTAGCTCACTTGCAACTGATACAAGGGGCAGCAGAGCCCATGCTGAAGTGTCCTTGAGCCAGACACTGATGGCAAAGCACCACTATGTGGAGAGCTATTACTGTATATTACTCTTCTCTGATTGGCTTTCTGGACCAGGATGACTTTTAGTGAATGTCAGTCCACACTGTGCAACCCAAATATTTGTTTGCACAGGTCAAAACAAATAGGGGTCAAACTGTCAGACACCAGCATAGTTAATTAGTTGCTAGAAGCTGCTAGAAGTTTATCAGTATTTGGGTTTTTTTTCCCTCTAGTTTAACAAAAAATGTTTGCTGAATTGATACTGAACTAATCTCAGCCTTTGTGAGAAAAGCTCCCTCCATTGAAATTTGTAACCTGTGAAAACAGAAAACCCAGGACTCTGCTTACATGTTTGCAGTTAAGACCGGTGGACTTTACCGTTGCTGTTTTGTGTGAGAAATCATTTGTAAGACTAGTTTTTCCAAGGAAACTTCCTCATAGATCACTTCTTTAAACTATGTGTCAGTGGGGTCAAGAGGTCACTGCAGCCGAGCTTAAAACCAACCTTTGCTGTTTAATCTTTGTCTAATCTGTCTGCTAGGAAACAGTTGACAGTTCAAAGAAGCAGCACAAACAGAACATTTCTTGTTTAACTGAGTTTTCACAATTGTACTTTAACTTTTAAGGCACATGTTTTTAACCTAAGATGATGTGTGATGAGACATCATGATGATTTGTACTTTTAATTCACAAAACCCAGCATCAAGTTGCTTGTTGAATCTTTTTGTCACAGAGTTGATTTGTTGTACTTCTCCCAGCAGTATGGAGTGTGCCCATTTATCATTTGACATGTATTTCTTATTAGCTGCCTCAGTATTTGCTGTTAGTTGGCTTTTACAATGGGTTCTGCTGGAAAAACCTACTGCGGTGTGTGTGTGTGTGTGTGTGTGTGTGTGTGTGTGTGTGTAAGATTGTGTGTCTCTCTGTACTTCTCCCTCTGCCATTTTTAACTTATACTTTAGTTGGCTGTCTGGTCTGAACCTGCTCGTCTGTGCAAACGGCTGTCTGGTCTGAACCTGCTCGTCTGTGCAAATGGAATGAAAGGTTGTGCCATGAAGCCACAAACCTAATCTAATCTTTTTAAACAAATGCAATCAGAGCCCCCCCCTTTTTTTTTTTTTTTTTTTTAATAAACAAAAAATTATCCCTGTGAAAAGCAGATAGAGACCGTGCTCATTCCTCCCTCTCAAACAGCTGAATCATACTTTTGTACTGTAGACTTGGGAACAAGTAGAACCTAGAAACGATAGTACTTTTCTCTGTACTTTATTATTTTTTTTCACCACCTCTCGGCCATTTCTGCAGAGCCCACACAGCACCTGCAGTAAATTCTTCATTGTTTTTCCTCAGATGCCTCTTGTTTGGTTCCCTTCCCTTTCTCTGTGTGTGGCCTTGAGGCAAATGACACATGTGAGTAGAACACCGTGGCTACAGTAGTGCAGTATTGGTGTAAGTGGCCAGTGCATGGCTCAATAGCGGCTTTCATCTGTTTTTTTTTTTGTTTAAATCTTCTTATTGGCAGTTATACATACATTGCAGGCCAAATATGTATGAGCTTAAAAACATGAGAACAACCCAAAAAAGAGGCATCTTTCTATCTGTTGTATCTGGCAGCTGGGCCAGCCTGTTCAAACTACCACCAAATTAAAATTAACGCCGAGGGCCTCCTGATAAAGTGGCATTGATTAAAAACATTGATCATTTTTAATATAAAAACAAATGTGGTGAAATGTTACCCAATAAAAACCAGAGCTGCCAGCGTTTCCAT